ATTTTGAAATCTTAAAAGCCATTTAAAAGAAGAAATATCATCAGTTGTAAACACTAAAAACTTTAATGTGAAAGAAGGAGTTTGTCTCTGTGTCTAAGGATAAGGTTGTTATTGCTCAGCATCCATTTCATCTAGATTGTGCACTTTTGAGTTAATTTCTGGAACTTCAACTATTGGTTCTATCATAAAGATTCATGAGAGTGTTTCCTTTGAATCATCTGAGTTGTTTAACTCGTCACTTTTCTTTAGGATTTTGTTTCACATTTGCAAAAAATATCTTCAATGAAAACTTAAAGAAGATTTTCTTATGCCATTTATTGTAGCATTTCTAGAAAAATATTTAAAGTAAAGAAGGTCATAAGTTGTGATGAAAGTTTTAAAGTATTTTTAAGAGTGTGCTCAGGTGTAGGGTTTGAAAAAGTAGCAAAAGAGCTTATGCTTGGTTTTGATTTTGGAAGTTGAGAAAGTAGTTATTTGGTTATTCTTTTGGGTTTCTAGTCAACTGATTATTGTTCTCTAAATTTATGAATCTATTTTTCAATTGTTCTAAAGAAAGGTTGTTCTAAAAGAAGGTGTAAAAATGTTGTTCTGACATCGGTGTAAAGAATTATCTTGGCTAGGTGTATAAAGGTGGGGATGTGGTTGGGGTTTGTACTAAAATGGGGTGAAAAAAGGTTTTTGGGATGAAAATGGTGTATATGATTGATAAGGAGAATGAGGATATGCTTGATAAAGAGTATTATGCATTTTGGTATTGATAAGAGCAAAAATATTGTAACTGAAAGTTAGAGGTTATTGTTGCTATTTTTGATGGAGTTGGTTTTGAAGATCTGTAAGTTAGATCTTGAGACTTTTTATCTTTTTTTTTCATAAAAGCATAAGTGTAACTAGTATTAATTTCCACTATATGCCTGAATTCTTGATCTAGAGCTATTATCATTGTCTGCATGTCAAGAATAATATTTTAGAGGTTAACAAGACTTTGGTCGAGATGGTGATTAACTTGATCCAGCTTGTTTTCTATCCTGGATAAATATGTATTTTATTGAATAAAGTTTTCTGTTTGCTAGCTCAAGATTGCTTCTGTTTGAGAAATGCTTTTTTGGTTTTCATACTTATCTCTGTTAGTGGGGTTTGAAATTTTCAGAATGTGTTTACATTTATCTTTGTGAAATTCTTAGAGATAAAGAAAATTTGAGTCATATGAAGGTTGACTTGATTGCACCATACACATATGAGGTAAAGGATCTTTTGATTTTAGGTTTTTATGCATCTGGGTTTTGTAGGTTTGTGAAAGGTTTAGCTTCCTTTTCTAGGATAAATGACATAAAAATCAAATTTTTTCGAAGGTTCAAATAGGAAATCAACTTTAGGGTTTTCTTATTCATATCTTTCTTTCAGTTTCTATTATGAAGACCTTTTCTTTGGCTTCTTTGAAAAGTCATTATCATCATCAAAGAAGTTTTTATAGCTATCTTTCTGACATTTTTTACATATGCAATTAATATCCTAATAGCAATATCCTGTATACATATACAAGTTTTTCATTAAGCTTAAAGTGAGTAACTATTACATTTAGTTCAGTTTGATATAGTTGCATCATGAATTATGTAAGAAAGATAAAAGTTAGGGTATGCGTTTTTTTTTTTTTTGTGATAAAACTCTATTGTCACAGTTCCATCTGGGTTTGTGGTGTAGGAATGATCGAAGTGTTGGATTGGTTTATCTTACTTCTAAATCTTTTGATAACTTGTTGTCCAATACTTAGGAAGTAGATTAACAAATTGTTCATTTGATATCTATTTTAAAATGTGAACACATATGAGATTTTTATTTGTAGCTTCTAACTTTACAACTACAACATCACCAGAGTTAGGCAAAGGTAGGTTTACGACACGATCTTGAATTTTGTAAGCCATCTAATAGTGAAGAGTTGCTTGGAATCATTTCATCTTAGTTCTTACAATTTGTACTTGAACTTTTGAAACATCTAACAATGTTAAATCATGGAGAGACATATTGTAGTTTGGAAAGACTGTAAAGAAGATAGTTCTAACATTAAACGTTGTTTCAATTATGCAAAGTATTGTATGTTACTAATCTTTGAATCTTGTATCCAGCAAAGCCATTCTAGTACAAGTAAGAATATCATTTCCATCATAAAAGTTCAATGCTATTCTGATAGCATCAAAATGAATATGAGTGTATCCTTGGTTCATCCACTGTTGTAAAAATTCTAATGAAATCTGAAAAGTAACAAAGTATTTTTGAGATTCAAATAGAAAATACACTGATCAAACTTAGAAGCTTAAACATACTTTTTTGGGACTTCGTATTATGGCTTTAAAATAGTCTTTATAGATTTGGTAAATGAAGAATAAGTTTTTGTAAAGACGGTATAAGAATTTATAAGGGAAAGTTCTGTATCTTGAACTTTTTTGTTTTTTGAAAGATAATTGATTTCCTACAAGAAATCTAACTCAAACGAAAAAGATTTTTTAATTACAGGAGAACGAGGATAAGGTAAACTAAAGGAAGATCTAGAAATTGAAAGTTGCATACTATTAATTTTTGATAAATCTATGAGAAATAAGATTCTCTTGGCTTATCCTATCCAACTTAATCTCAAATTTAGAGCAAAATCATAATTCTATATGGAGTTGCACTCTGATGCCAAGTGAACAAGGGTTGGTTGCTCGCATCAAGGAGATACCAAATACAAATAGTCCATAGTTCAAACATATAACTAAGGTATTATCGTCGGTACTCAAGACTAAATGCTCTCCTGACATAGCATCAAGTTGGTGGTCTAACTTTTATGAAGACTTGTCTTTCGTTATGGTAACCTACTTTAGTATTCCTTAATATATTAACTTTTCTTTGTTTAAGTGAATCAATGATCTGTTTGATAATTTTACAAGACTTCTAATATAGACTATCCACGATACTGTATCAATTGTATAGTGTACTAACTTATATCACTGAAAATCATAATACAAAAACTCACTATGATTGTAAGTTTAAAGATTGAAAAAGGAAGAAATAATCACCAAAAGAAATTGAGGTTTTAAAAAAACATATAAGATAATATTTTCTTACAAGGAAAGTAACTTAATCGTTAAACAATTTTTGTAAATTTTACTATATTACATTACTTTTCTAATTATTGTATCATTATTTGACGTGTTTAAAAGTACAATAACATTTTATTTTTATAATAAATTAAAATTATTATAATATTTCTTCTATCATAATTATAAAATATCAGTACTATTATAATTGATCAAAATTATTATAATGATTATTTTATTATAATTACGAAAATATTTCTCCTATCATAATTTTCAGCTATAATTAAAAGTAATCCCCTATAAATTATTATATTGTCATTTTAATTAGTTGACAATTTTTGACACATGTCTAAAAGTATAATAATATTCTTGCTTTTATAATTTGACTAAAATTATTATAATATTTCTTTTATCATAAGTGGTTAAATTATTATAATATACATTTTATCATAATTAGCCAAAATTATTATAAAAGCCTACCAACTATAATTACAAAATGACATGTAATATCTATATTAAATTTTATCATAAAAATAAATACCCTTACCATTGTTTCATGAAAGTTAGATAAAACTTAACAACCTATTAAATTATTATAGTAATCAAATAAATCTATACTATTAAAAGTAATCTAAAAAAAATACTATAATGCCTATCTGGTTAATTGATTGGTAATTGACACGTGTTCAAATTTACTATAATATCTCTCATTTTATAATTAACCAAAATTTTTATAATATTTTCCTACCATAATTACAAAATTAATCCTCATAACATAATTAATTAAAATTATTATAATATTCTTCTATCATAATTATAAAAATGACTTCTTATCATGATTGACTAAACCTCCTAATATAATTACAAGAATGCCCCTCTTATTATAATTTATCAAAATTTTTATTATACTTCAATTAAATTACATATTAAAATTTAAGAAAATATAAAATTAATTACATATAAAATTATTAAAATATCATTGCCATTATTTCATAAAAAATTGACATGACGCATTTTATGAAAATAATTATGATACCCTTATTAAAGTACATATTAAATTAATTACATAAGATTTAACAAAATATTAAATTATTATAAATCTATACAATAGGTTAAAAATAATTTTTTATGAAAATTATTATAAAATTATATATTTATTATTTTTGAATTTTATTAATACGGTTCAATTCGGTATATTAGTTTTTGAAATTATTTTTTATTTTTATATTATTTAATATAAAATTTTAATATATTTAAATCGATTTAATATAAAATAATTATTTTATTTTATAAAATTTAAAAAATATATAAAAATTAATAAAAAATATAATTAAGTTTAATTTATTTTTTTAATTTTTAATTTTTTGATTTAAAATCTAATCTAAAAATAATATGTATTTAATATTCAAATTGAATGTAAAAAAAAATCCAAATTAAATCAAATGTTACCAATTCAAATCAATTTTAATTTTTTTCATTTTTTCCTCGCATCTATAACCATCATTATCTATGAATCAATCGGATACATGAAATAGAAGAATCTAGATATGGTTAAAAAACCAAAAATCTACGGAAGATTCTAGAAAAATATAAAAAAAAAATTACAGAACATTTTAGATCCCCAAGACCTGACCAATGTAACGTAGTATCAATGCGGACGTATACCCAAAATCGTACAAAAATTATACAAATAATAATTTAATATTTAAATTTAATTTAATAAAAAAATTATCCGAATTAAATCAAAATTTATCATTTAAATCAATTTTAAATTTTTTCATTTTTTTCTCACATCTATAACTATAACCATCATTATCTACGAATCAATTGGATGCATGAAATAGAAGAATCTGGATTTGCTTAAAAAAACCAAAAGTCTACAGAAGATGCTAGAAAAAACTATAAAAATAACCTACAGGACATTCCAGAACCCCAATACCCAAACAGTAAACACGGTATCAACGCGGACGCGTACCCAAAATCGTACAGACGGTATACAAACAATGACTTAGAGACGGCCGGACTCTCAGCTTAATACCAAAAATACATGCACGCTTGACAACAATAGACATGATCCAATCCACTGTAAGTGTCAATAACTCGAGCAGGCCCACGTAGCTTCCCAATTAAGTTGAGTCGAAGACCATAAAAATTTGGGAGTCAATGCTTGTATATAAGAACTGAATTTCTTCTAAAGACACACTCCTCTCTTCCTCTGCTCCTTGTAGAACAAACAAAACCTTCACTCGCTCTGTTTTATCTTTTGTTTCTCTCTTTTCTTGTTTAGTATAATAGTAGTAGTAGTAATAATAATAAGGTGGGTTGTGAGAAAATGAACATCTTCCTTGAGATTGGGTTTAGATTCCTTCCACCGGATGAACAAATCATCCGTATTTTTCTTATAAATAAAATGATTGGTGATCCTGATCACACCCTCCATATTAGAGAAGTCGACCTCAACAAGCAAGAGCCCTGGGACTTACCTGGTAAACTAAAATTTCCATCTCAATTCTAAATGATTTTTCATGTCTTTGTTTATATGCTGCTATTAAGTTTGTTATCTTCTTGAAAAATGGGTTGGTGATTTTTTTTTTTTTTGAGGACAGACTTGTCTATAGTACGGTCGACATATCACGAATGGTTCTTCTTTTATAAACTGAACAAGATTTCCGAGAGAAAAAATGACAGGTCAACGAAGGCTGGGTATTGGAAATCGACGGGTAAGGATCGGGATATCAGTTATCGAGATAAGGTGATTGGTACCAAGAAGACTTTGGTTTTCTATACAGGCCATACTCCTCATGGGGTCAAAACCGATTGGGTCATGCACGAGTTTCGTGCCGCTGCCGACATCATTCCTCCCAATGCGGTAATATACGTACACACTTGACACATCCACATCATTGTTGGGGAAATCCCATCAAGCTTTTTTCAGCTTTTGCTCTGTTTACATGTATGGTGAGTGATATGATTACAAGTTACTTGTTTAAATGGTTCACAGTACTTTAATTCCCTTACAGTCAAAGAAGATGATGGAAATAGTTCTGTTTTGTAAATTGTATGAAAGGCTTAGTTCTGAAGATTGTTGCTTGCTTCATGTTTCTAAATTAGGATTTAAAGTTGTATTTTGTTATTATTAATCTGCATTTTTTACTTTAAGCCACAAGCATTTCTTTTGGGAAAACATGGAATTTAGTACGCTATACAATTAATTCAATTCTGAAATTTTTATTTGTTAAATTGGTTTCACAATTTATAGCAGAGCACTCTAACCTTGAGATCTGTTTTTGTCCTTCAACTCCCATAGGATAACAGTTATGTGGTCGGCTACTTAAAGAACAATGCTGCCGAGAACACTGAAAACTCAATTCCAAATGATGGTCAGTCAAGCACATATCTTGTGGCTAGTGGTTCTCAAAATAATGCAGTTGGGGTTACGTCTATGGAGGTGAGAAGGAACATGAGTTACAACTTACAAACAGCTTTTTTTTACTAATAACCTTTATTTCGTAATGTGTGAGCCATCACATCACATACATAAATTAATACATGCTTATGAATGTTACTTACTCAGGTGGCTCCTCAATTACCGTCCGATAATATGGATTACGAAATAGCTTTGCAAATACAGATGAAAGATCAGGGTATCTTTGATTATGATCTATCATCATATAATGGCTTGCACGATCTCCCATCATCCAGTGCCATTGCCAGCAATGGCCAAAACAGGATGGAAGAAGAAGGTATCTCCTTAGAGGATCTCCTGCAATCTAATGACCCGGTTGATGATGAGCAGAATGAGTGGCAACTTCAATTTGACACCATTGAGGAAGAAAATGAATTCATGATTTCTCTGTTTCATGACCAAGATGAGAACTCTTATGTAGAGGCTGGGCACCATCTTCACCTTGATTACAGGGCACCAGACCATATTGGGGATGGCAGTGACACTGACCCCGTATGGACCGATGAATGGGTAAAGAATATTCTTCAGTAGTTACCGTTGGAGAAATTTTCTCCAACGATGTAAAAACCTAGTCAGTTCTATAGGAGAACAATTGCTGGAATAATGTCTGACACTGTCACACATTATTTCGGTTTGTAGTTTTTAACTATGATGTTCTCCTATAGTGTCTTATGATCTCCAGCGAATTGAAAGTGTTTAGTTGTGTCGAAGTCTTGAAGAGGTCTTTAGAGTTTCGTGTTTGTTAGACTAGAAAATTTGACATATATCCTCTCCGTATCTTATATAACAGTGTGATCAAATTGTTCTTACGTCCGATGGGGCTGGCCATGGCCAGTCGGAAGGATTCAATCAGAAGCGAATGGAAAATAGTTTCCGTCACGATGAGATCCATTATATGAATTCCAGTGTTGACTCAGCGACAGTTACAGCCTACGAGATCAATTGTCTTGAATCGGTCCGGGAGGAAAATTCTGTTAACTCAAAAACCTGCAAATCTCAATATGAGCCAAGATCCCACAAGTCAGTGATGCAGGGCAAAGAGAAAGCAGTATCGAGAGACAAGGTAAGTTAGTTAAACACTGCAGCAAAGGACACTTAACTGCTTCAAAGGTTGATTGAAACAATAATGCTTTCTGTAGTACACTATTAATTGCTATGTTTGCACTACATGGTTTCCTTTTCCAGACAAGAGAAAGTGGTGTGCGTCGTCCTGTTGTTAACCTTGTCCGGGGGAAGAGATCCATCGTGCTGTCTAACAAAGACCCTAAAATGGATCGGGACAGGAATGCAAAATCGGATATGAACTCAAGATCTAATGTGTCAGCTGGCAGCGGTAGAAAAAATTCTTTCAATTTCCTGGAGATGTCCCAGCTAAACTGCAAATCAAATCCACCATTAGTAAATATTAGAAATATACTTTTGGGCGTGATTTTGTTCGTAGTTGTGGTTAGGGAAGTTATGTTTCTTCATTAGGTAAAGTCGTGTGTGTTTCAGGCATTTCATAATGGCAAGACATAACAGGGCCGCAAGGACATGCATGGTCTTCGACTCCATATCGCTTGGCTTGTGTCTCTGTTATGATGTTATATTTTCAGAACCATATCGCTTTAATTTTCAATAAAAAAATTTATGTTGCGTGTGTAATTGGGTGTGATCAGGCGGAGCAAAATCATTTTGTGGTTGCAGCTTTAGGATAGATGGTACGCCAAAAGCTGATAAGGTGCAATTTTCAGAAAGCAAATGATGCGGATGATGATGAAAATTCGTGCATATCTGAAAACTGAATTCGGGTAACTTTTTGGTATTATAAAGCACGCCCTTGAGGATTTAGCTGCTAAAAAGAAAGTTTATACTACCCCTATTCTTTTATATATATATATATATATGTTTTAAGACTGTTTCAAAATTATTTTTTATATATTTTAAAATATTAAAACCTTTTTTTATATTAAAAAATATGAAAATTTAATTTTATAAAAAAATTTTAATTTTAATATTAAATACATTAAAATTAATATTTTTTTAAACTTTATAAAAGTTAAAACAAAACAAATAAATAGAAACGGAGGGAGTATTTTTATTACATTATTGTATCTTTTCTTTTATAAAAGAGATTTGATTTACTATTGGAGTGTGGTGAGAATAGACAAGTGGGAACTCAACAACCAACATACGAAAATTGTCAACAGATGAATGGACGATGGCAATGCCATTAAGAACGGTGAAGATGAGGTTAGCTCAAACTTAGGGGGCAGTGAAAGGAATGCAGTATTTTTATCCAAAAAAAAACTGAAGTTATTATTATCGAATAAAAAATAACCCAAACGTTGTTCTTATTCTGGTGTGTTTCACAAGGGTTATTATAATATATATATATATATATATTTATAAATTTTTACTAAACTAAGCCGAACTTGACGGTTCTAATGTGAAACTAGTAACAGTGAATACGGTTTTGGGACCCAGTAAGTACAATCTTTTTCCACAACTTCTTGAGGAAGGAGTTTTTGCTCTACATATATTTCTTTTTCACCTCCGACTTAGATTTCAGGGGAGCACCTCCATTGTTCCTTCTTCTCTTAGACGAAAAATATTCCCATGTCATAGCTGGAATTAGTCTTGGCTTTTGTTTCCATCATCTTGTTGAGTTACTCTTTTTGTTTCTACCCATGAGCGGCTGTAGCTGCAACGACATTGTGGGATACAGATTCCACCCAACTGATAAGGAACTGATCGATCATTATCTATGGAATAAGACACTCGACCGTGATTCTGCTGTCCAAGCTATTGGTGAAGTCGCCGGTGACCTCTGCGACTGGGAATCTGGAGAGTTATGCAGTAAGTACTGAGTTCAGAGCTTTTTCTTTTCAGACACAAAATTGATGGCCAAGCTGTTCCTCTTCAATATTTTTGATTTTTGGGTTTTGCTTTTCAGGGTTTTCAGATACAATGATGATGAAACTTGTTATGAAAAAACTCCAGGGTCAAGAAGACAACCAAAATTGGCAGCAAGAAGACTTTGGTTTTCTAACAGGGTCCTGTTCCAAAAGAAAATGGAGCCTTGGTCAGGTACACTTTCCCTGATACTCTTACTAACCAAGTATGTTCTCTTATGCTAACTCTGAATTATCTTATTATAGTTTACATTTGTTTCAATTTCTTTTTGGTTCCATGGATGTTTATGTGTTAGAAGGTCAATGATTTATCTTTGCTTATACTTATTCATTCGTAGGACTGATATCAAATTTAAGTATTCAAGTCTGTGTGAATCCCAAATTTTGTTCTTCTTCTTTGGTCTTTAATTCTGTTTTTTGAAATTCGATTTAGAAGGGTTTTTTCCTCTGTAAATTGAAAAGAAACGATGATGAGGGCTGTTACTTCAGGTGTTGAAGAAGGACAGCCAAGTAATGTTGCAGATGACAATACTTTTGATTTAAAATACCTTTTATGAAGCTTTTAATTATGTGATGCCTATGGAAATGTTAAAAGTATACTCAATTAATTATTTTCTATAAATCAGAAATTTTCGGATATTAATGTTGATGAGCTACTGACAGACTTGAGAAAGATAAATGGCTTCAACAAACTTGGAAATGAGGTTGCTTCTGCACAAAAAGTATGAAGCAAGTGTCTTCTACATCATTCTTGTACAACTTCACTGATGATTTTGATGGGGTTCAAAATCAATCTAGCACCAATGAACAGAATGATGAGTTATATCTCGAATCTTTTACATTACAATCACGAGGAACATGTTCCTTCTTGTAATGCTGCTTCATTCTTGTACAATCTCAGCATGATTTTGATTTCAAAATCAATCTAGCACCAATGAACAGACTGATGAGTTATATCATGTTTCTCTTACACTATAATCTCAGATGCACAAGGAGCATGTGACTTCTTGTAATGCTGTATCACTTTTGTACTCAGTGATGATTTTGATGGGATTCAAAATTAATGATGAGTTATAAAAAGATGATGAATTATGGAATAATATTTTTACCAATGATGATGATGCCTACCATGATGAAAGAAGCAATGAACTTTTTGTTGGGAGTGAGAGCTGTGATTTGTTCTTTGGCAGAAATTGTCCTATAGAGAGAGGTCTAGGAAACGACCATGCATTGATGAAGGTGGATTAAATGATGTCATGGAAGCTGAAGTGTCTCGAGCACGTGTAAAAACACTCTTAATTATAGCACATGGACTCAAGTTGATTTGACAAAAATGTGTCATTTGGGGCATCATACAATGCGATCAGGTTATGCATCACATAACATTGTTTCTTGCTCCAATGACATCATTTCATGGATTAAAACTTGGTCTGTCCAGCTCAAGTAAGGGTGAAAAGTTTTGCCTCAAATAGCATATGAACTGCAAAGTTGATTTTATAGAAGAATAATGTTGTCACTTGAGAGCATTGTAATGATCTTATGCTTGTTTTAGTTGGAGGGACAAGGAAAGAAATGAGAAAGCATGGAATTCTTTCCTCTTTACCGGTCCTTTAATCTCCCCATTTCCTCCTACATGTGTGGCTAAGAATTCTAAGGTGAGAATTTTAAAAATTATTACGGTACTCTTTTAAATGTTCTTTTGTAGATAAACCTTTTGATGTGCAGTACAACCATCAAGAACTGTCACTGCCATGGATATGCCCCTAAAGGAAATCTAACGCAGACCAGAAAATGATAGGAGAAGCCAATGCAAGAATGAACTTGAAGATGCATGAGGTTTGGTCTATTAACGGTGATCGGGGCTTCTTCACTTTCATGTATAAACCTCCATTTAGCCATAAATTCTATCTACCATTAGTGTATTATGTTAATACAGTCCTTGGCATACTTGTTCTGTAGTAGTATTTATTTTTTAATTGAATTTAAGTAGAAACTAGGAGGCAAATGTTACTAATTTATATTTAATGTACTGTCAAGTGTATAAATTTTATATATTATAAATAAGATGATATCATTTTATTAATAATTTTTTTAATAATATTAATTTTTTATATATCTATTTTAAAAGATAATACTTATTAATTAGATGGTATTATAATACATAAAATCTATACATGCATTAAATATAAACTCTATCCCTATTCCATTTTAACTAATGTGGGTATTAACTTGACCTATCTACCATAATAATCTGAATTGGAGAAGTCCTCAATCTCCGCATGGCCTATCTTATTTTTTAATGCGAGTTTACTTGAATAGCACGGTTTTTGATTTAGTAAGGAAGTTGCATTTTAATGTGAGTAAGGGTAAAACGTTTTGGGGTGAGAGAGATTCGAACTCTCGACCTCAGGATAACTCAATAAGCTATGAGACCTACGCTCTAGCCAACTGCGCCACGACGCCGCTTTTCCATCGATCCCTGTAAATCTACAGTGTTAAATACTGATGAGTAATGACAATAATAGCTAAGGAAGGTTGCCGATGATGCCAATCATCAATTCGTGACCATGATGATGATTACCAACTCAGTCAGACTATCAATTTACAATCATCTTATTGTGGGCATTTGTTAGTCCAATTGAAACTTGGCTAGACATATTCATCTACTATAGGTACAAATGGGCTGGTTTTGGGTATCCAAAGAGTAACAAGAAAGAATGGGTTGCTTCTACGTACCAAAAATAAAGATGACTCTGTTTTGATGGGCCTTCCCTTCCAATCCATGATGACCACAGTATATATAAAACACCTACATCACCTGATCTACAATTCATATATGGATGAAGTGTGTAAATATACGCACAACAACGATTAAAGCAAATGGATGGGTGGGAATTTGAAATTTCAAATATTTTATGAATGAGATTAAAACTCGGCCAAAAGCACTTCCTCTCAAAAACATATTGAAGTGCTTGCATGCCTTGATGCCAATGGAAGAAAGTAAACAGTAGATGGCATGGAAGGTTCCAGAATGTCTAAAGCTAATATTTGTTATACTCTGGGAATAAAGGGGAACATAAGGAACCAACAAAGCAAAGGCAGGGAAAGTGATTGGATGATGATAATGAAAATGAGAGATCAGATGGGATTGGTCGACTGACTCTAGCACTTGGTGAGCAACTTCACTGACATTAAATTTAAGGAATAAAATTACTATACTGGAAATGCACATAACAAAATGCAAACTTTTTATCAATCGTTTTTACCGAGCAAGTCAAAAATCTAGATCCTTCCTATTCATTATTTAGCATCGCTGACTCTTTATTCTTTCCATGGATGCACAAAGGCTTGCCACGTTGGATCAATTATCTAAGCCTACAGCATCACCCCAAGCTCCTCAGTCCTGAAATTGGAAAAACTGTAAACACGGTTTCTGCGGGGTCCCATTCGCTTGGAATCTTAGGACACAAGCAACGTAGTTTCGCAGCAGCTCCCACTTGTTACTGCTCACTTGCCACTGCTTCGCTGTATAAAATCCACTCCATAATTCACTCTCTTCCTGCAATTCTGCAAAGTGTTTTCCATCATTCTCACTCTGACAGTACTCTCGCTTTCTTTGTCTTGTTTCGTCGTTTTTTTTTTTTCTTTCTTTCTTGTTTCTTCTAACAATTGGACGAAATGATGAACAAAAAGGGATACCAAATAATTCAGCCAATTACCAATGAAGAACGATTTGGCAATTACTATTGCTATTACCTCTTCTGGGTTGCGGTTGGTTACTACTTGTGGAAAAAAATACTTAGCATAACGGGGTACAGATTCCATCCAACGGATTTCGAACTCCTCCATTACTATCTACAGAACAAAAACCTCGGCCGGGACGCTCTGGTCCGAGCTATTGCCGAAGTGGAAGATATCTCCGGATTTGAACCTTGGGAATTACCTGGTAAGTATTTATGTTAGACAATGCTGTCTAGTTTCAGACACCCTTTTGTCCAATCACATAATGTTTTTAATTGTCTTTTTGTCTTTTATTTGCAGGACATTCGAATATACACTCGGGTGATCATGTTTGGTATTTCTTTTACCGGCCAAATTACAAGTACCGGAATAGTACAAGGATCAAGAGGACAACCAACGAAGGATACTGGAAGCCGACAGGAAACCCTCGTAAGATAATGGCTAGGGATCTTCAGACCGAGATTGGCCAGAAAAGGACGTTGGTTTTTTATAAAGGGCGTGTTAGTGACAGTAACAAAAACAAGACTGGATGGATCATGCATGAATATGAGCTCACTGCTACTCTTCCTAACCAAGTACGTTTCTTTAATATATGCTGCTTAATTACCATAATTTGTTATCATATTTTCAACAAATTTGGTAATTGATAGCTTTTCTTTTTTTCTTTTTTCTTTTTGTTTTAGTAAACTGCAAATTTTATTACTATAATTAAGTAGAGGTAAATTCAACAGCTATTTAAAATGATTATGAGTGTGATGATAGAAAATATCTAAAAATATTTTTAATTAAGTTCAATAACATAATTAATAATCATGTCATCCGTAGATAAAATATTAATTTTTAATTTCGAGATCAAATCCTTACAACTCAAATAAATAAAAAAATTGATAGCATAATGGTGCAGTTGATAATTTTTTTCTTTTGTTTTTTCATACAAGTACTTAGATTGTTTTGTTCTTTCATGTGTAGACAACTTTTGTTCTCTGCAAATTGAAGAGGAAGTATGGGAAGGATGAGGCTTCAAGTATTGAAGGTGGTGAGTCAAGTCAGTATTTGCCTCCTAACTTGGAAAATTATATTGCAAATAATGGAACTCAGGCAGAGGCCGCTAGATGCCTTACGGTAGTTTTCCCTTTTTTCATGACTATTATTGCTTTATCTTCCAAAGTCATGATGATGACATATGCACCTAAAACTATCATAATTTTTTGTCTATAAATGTGACACAGGACCAAACAGACCCTATTGAGATATTAGCACAGCCAAAACTGTTTAATGACCCCGAGGATCTAGAAAATAAATCTACAGAATTGTGGACTACATATTTTAGTGGTGATATTCCGGAAGGCTCTGATTTACCTTCCAAATTTGGAAACCATCTTGTTGAAAATGCAATTCCAAATGTAAGTTTCTATTGGAGGTTTTCGAAATAATTGTTTAGTCATGTGGGTTAATTTTGATAAATGAATTCAACTTAAACTGATATTTATTTTTCTATGTTTCAGTACCCAATGTTACTTATTGAGGCACCAATCGAACAAGCACCCCAAGATCAGTCTGACACCAATGAACAAGACAGCAGGCTTGGTAACTTAGTTCCCGCCGATGAAAGTAGCAATCAACAAAATTTAGTTGTTGGCAATTATGGATCTACCATGCCAGCTAATTCCAAAAGTGCTACTGCAGAGGATCCAGTTAAAATGGTAAGATATGGCTTATGAGAAAATCTTTAATTTTTTATACATGTGGTGACTAAAAACATTAATCTGGAATTTTATTGTTTCTTTCTAATTTAGGACTTGTCAAATTTGGCTGAAGTATCAATGGATGAAGTGTTTGCAGATTTAGAAACGCTTCCAGAAGTAAGTTGCTTTGTAAGAAAATTTTCACTACTATTGTTTGTAGATGAAGAGAGACAACGATAAACACATAAAATGATGCAGCTGATTAATTTGTATTGTGATTCAGGTCCAAGGAAACGGATTTAGACAATCGTTTGATGATTGGAATTCAGGAGGCGAGATATTTGGGGCCCAAGAAATACCAAATGCTTCTGACATTCAATTTAGCACCAATGAACAGCAAAATATAAGTGCTGCAAATGGAGGCAGTAGCTTGTCCTTTGCAGGCATGATGGAGTCACCCCATGCCATAAATCCAGCCAGGAAAAGGCCACGCACTGGTTATGAAGGATTTGGCTGCGACATGTAGTCCAACTGGGGCAGAAAGAAACACCAAGTTTGTGATACTGGGGTCTTTAGAAGGAATCACAGGAACAGTTTCAGATAAATATGTTTGTTATTTGGATTTGAACTAGTAGTTTATGCTAATAGCTTGTGAGAATTTGAATGTAATTTAAACTAGATTCTATGCTGTTCCCTATATAGATAGTATTTCTGATGCTTATGTTTGACGCTTTTCCTTTGTTTATATACCAAAAAAAAAAAAAAGAAATTTGGTCTGGGTACTAGTATTCCAACATCATGGCATTATATCTATAGATATACATATATATATATATAATTACTTAAATTATTCACTTAGGCTCCATTTGGTTTTTTTTTTTTACTACTTTTATTAAAAAGCAAAAAATAAATATTACTAAAAACTTGCGCATTACTTAAATTTTGGTCATATTCACGCTAAAATCACTAAATTCTAAATTTCTAATATTGGTTCAAGTCCCAGGAGATTTTCTTTAAATATATTTTTTTTCAAAGTAAAAGATTAGAAATAGTAGTTCGATGGGTCATTCGATTCCATGGATTGGATTGGATTGCATTGCATGCACCAGAGACTTGGAACGTTGGTCGTTGATTGTTGAGAATCCGAAAGTCCCATAAGCTATGAATCCGATGATCAAAGGTGCCAGCGTGGCAGCAGAACGAGCTCTTTGAACATTCTCTTAAAACGCGGTATGCGGGACCCACCTAGAATCTGTCTTTTTCCTTGTATTAAACTTCTCGAGTAATAAAGAAGTTAAAAAAAAAAAAAAACTTGTTGAGTAAGGGAGGTGTTAATTTTCTTTTTGTTAATGATCAGCTTCATCAAGGCATTTCTTTCTTTGCAGATTGAAAACCTGAACCAGCTTTCACTTTCTTTCTCGTTTCCTTCATCATCGTCCCTCTTCCTTTTGAACTCATCTGATTAATTTTGTTTCCTTCTCGCTATCGAAGATGATGAGAACTGAGAAGCACTAGTAGCAACAGCGATATAGTGGGATACAGATTCCACCCAACTGACAAAGAACTCGTAGACCATTATCTATGCAACAAAATCCTCGGCCGTGATTCTCTCGTCCAAGCTATAAATGAGGTC